CCTCTCCCTCTCGATGTCCTAAGGGAAGAATCAAGAGGCAGCAAATGATTAAGCAACACCAAGCCTTTCAAAAGTGAGAAGTATACAGGTAGTGACAAAGTCCTATTGTTCAAATGATATGAAGAGATTAGGGGTGTCAATTTCCTGACACGACCCAAAAATCCAATCCGAACCCGACCCGAATTTAGATTAGGGGTGCCAATTTCTGACACGTCCCAAAAATCCGATCCGAACCCAACCCGAAAAATTCGGATTCGGGTCAACCCGTTTAACCCAAATACCACGCGACCTAACCTGGTTTTGCGGCTTTTTCCGCGGGGTGCGAGGCTGCGAGCTCCTGCCTAGCCGCGTTTCCGGCCCTATCTCGTGCTGGCTTCGCCCGGACACTGCAAGATTGCACACGTCGCGGGCCTCACGACTCGGGACCGCAAGATCGTAGCCTCACCTGGTCTGTTGGTCTCTCCCAATCAACCCCACCCTAGCCCCCCGCTGGACCAATAGTCTCGCACCTGGTCACCGGCTTCAAATTGGCATTTTGCAAACAGGTCATGGGTCGGGTCGGGTCAATTCGGCAACCCGTGTGGGGTCGGGTCCGGGCTAGAAATCCCAACCCATTTGTAAAATCAGATCGGATTCGGGTAGACCCCTTTAGACCTGGGTCAAGTCAGGTTTGACCATAAACCCGACCAGTCGACTCATTTTGACACACCCCTAGAAGAGATAGATGGCAAGGATAGAGCATACCTTCTCAATATTTTCCCTGATGGCATATTTACAAGCACGCTGGCAAATCTCGGTAATATCTGCACCACTGAAGCCCTGGGTATACTTAGCAAGGGCCCATATGTCAACATCTTTGGATACAGGGGACTTCCTTAGACAAGCTTTAAAAATCTGGTGACGAGAAGCATCATCTGGAAGTGGAATATAAATTAACTGATCAAGACGCCCTGGCCTGAGCAATGCGGGATCTATGATGTCAGGTCTGTTGGTAGCACCAATAATGAAGACGGTTTTCTTCGCAGACATTCCATCCATCTCTGTCAAAAGTTGATTGAGAACTCTATCTGCAGCACCCCCAGCATCACCAACACTGCTACCTCTCTGTGAATAACAAGGAAATCAGTCTTTGAAAACAAATATCCCAACTAAGAAGCGCATAAATAAAAAAGATATAGACTTCGTTTGGGACGGTTTTTTATTGCTGCTTAAAACAGAAGCAATAAAAAAGTCGTACCAAACGAAGCCATAAATCAATGACAACCTGAGTAGCAATTGA